CGATTATTAGCAATCTATTTTTTATGTTTATATGGTGACAATGAAGACAAACAGTGACCTTTGGGTTGTGACAGATCTGGATTCAAACCAGTGTCTTATTGGTTGGCAAAGTTTTTTCATTCCTTGAGCCTTTAAAATAAAGATTACATCCAACCTATTGTGAGGTCTAAAAAAACAAAGGATGGAAAGCTGTAGTAGAGTAGCCATCATACTACACACTTAACTAATGGTTTTGTTTGTTTGTTTTAGCTGTTATTCCTCTTTCTCTATCAAATTCCAGGTTTGGGGCTTTAGCAAAGACTAAGGAGGAAGTTACTAGGGATACTGAATCTCCAGGAGGCCCATCTGGAGGCCATGTCAAAGCTGGCAACCAAAGCAGCACAGAAACAAAATTGAGGCCAGGCAAAGCAGGAAAGAGGTAAGAGGAGTGGCATGCTGTATTTCTCCATGAGCTACAAGGCATGAAGTTCACTGGTTAGAAACACAAGGACTTGTAGCATTTTAAAGTTAAAAAGGAATGTTTGATAATCCTGGACTTTCTAATTGGAAACTAAGGTTTAGGGACAAAAATAATTTGTTTGATGGAATTGAAAAGCCCAAATTACTCAAGTAGAAAACTCAAAGGAAAGTCTTACAAACAGAATAAATCAAGCAGAAGGTAGATAGGCCTCAATGATAAAGTACAGGGTCTAGATCAAATAAGAATGGATTATAAAAAATTAAATAAAAAACACACACAAAAAGGAACACACAGAAAATGTGGGAAATTAGGAAAAAATAAGCCATCAAATCATAAACATAGATGAGGAAGAAGAATCCCAAGTCAATGATATAGACCAGATCTTCAACAAGATTACAGGAGAAAACTTATCCAAACTAAAGAAAGACATACTTATATAGATACAAGGGAGCCCCGACCCCTAAGTTGTCTATGATCAGAGCTAGGAGGTCCACTGGAGGGCAATCTGTGCTTGATGTCCTCACACTGTGAGTGACACAGGGGCAGCTAACAGCCAAATGTCCCCCTTGATGTCACCTTGGACAGTCCAATGTGGTTTGTGAGGGCTCAGGCATGCCCAGTGACCCTCCTGACTACATTTGAGGCATGGATCTGGAAGTCCTTGAGTTGTGGAAGGCAAGAGAGCCTAGGCAGTTGCTATGGCCAGCTGAAAGACCTTAGCTAGAAGCAGGTATTTTTGTTTTCAGGCCTTTTTCATCTCTCCCATGGTACACCTTGATGGCCACTGCTAAGACTTTTGCCTTTGGAGTTAGGTGCTTCCTCTCTACATGTTTAAGTTTGGCCTTAATGTCAGAGAAACTCTGAGAGAAGGAGTGCTTTAAGGGCAGGCTTACAGAGACAGGTCAGGAGCCAAGTTGTCTGGACCTCATCTGCAAGTGCTCTAGCCTGGTCCCAGACTCACCTGTGCTCCTCCGGGAGAAGATTGTTGTTGAGAATCATATAAATGCCATGAAAAGTAAGGTTGTAAGATTGGATAATATATTGGAATTCTTTAATAAAGGTGGAAGAATTTTCAGTATAGGACCCAAATCCTTTTATATTTGAGAGTGTTTGCTTAATGAGTAGGTGACTTATACCGTGGCAAGCCAGCCACTCTGGCAACTTCCTGCAAAGAGAGAAACATGACTAGTTTAGACCACGGGTGGGAGTATGGAAAATGAGGTTCCATGGTGGAATGGGAGTGAGTAGCAGGTCTAAGGGCTGCCAGTGGGCTGAAAAGTGAGAACCTGTGAAGATAGATTTGGGCAGCTCATTTCTGAGGAGGGCGAAAGGGAGACTAAAGAGGCCTAAGACTGTGGGTTGAGGCTGATATGGGGGAGGCTCATTAAATGGAGAGTGGAGAGGCTACCTTAAATGCCTTTCCCCTATACTGAGAATGATGACTACCTTAAACGCCATCCTAGAGCCTTCATCCAGTAGCTGACAAAAGTAGAAACAGAGATCCATAGCTAAGCACTGAGCCATACTCCTGGAATCCAGTTATATAGAGGGAGGAGGGATGAGCAAAGGAATCAAGACCGTGCTGGAGAAACCTATAGAACCAGCTGACCTGACCTAGTTAGAGCACAAGGACCCCAGTCAAAAAGCTGGGGAACTAGCATTGAACTGAGCTAAACCCTCTGAATGTGAGTGCCACTTAGGAGGCCTTGGCAGTCTATGGGTCCTATAACAGTGGAAGCAGTGTTTATCCTTAGTGCACAAATGGACTTAGGGAGCCCATTCCCTATGAAGGGATACTATTTCAGCCCAGATACACAGAGGAGGGCCTAGGCCCTCCCTCAAATGATGTGACAGACTTTGATGATCCCCCATGGGAGGCCTCACCATTCTAGGGGAGCCAGTGGGGGGAGTAGGTTGGGAGGGTGTTGGTAGGGACATGGGAAGATGAGAGGGAGAGGCAATGGGGGGATTGATATGTAAAATGATCATTTCTAAATAAAAAATACTTACAAGAAGAATACAGACATATATCAAAAAGATTATACACCATGACAAATTGGTTTTATCAATGAAATTCAGGGATGTTTCAACATATACAAGTCTATAAATATAATAAACTAAATAAATGTACTTAAAGACAAAACTCACATGATCATCTTAATAGAGTCAGAAAAACAACAAGGATGTCTGTGGAACAAGGAATCACATAAGTCATAAGGAATCATACTATTAACTATTTACTTAAAAATCTATAATACATGTTATTCTTTCTATAAATATACATATGAAGTTTAAATGAACTTTACTCATCTGGGCTGACAATTCTCCCTTCAAGAGCTAAAGACCACCTAACAAAAAACCCATACCACACATGAGATGCACTTATTTTTGAGTTGTTAGCCAGGGCTATCCAAGAGATTCCTCAAACACCCAGCTAGTTGCTTTTGCCCTTGGTTGCCACCCCTAGAGGTAGAAGGTAATTCTAGATTGTTGAAGACACCGTGTACTTCCAAACAGGGCTCAGAGACTTCTGACCTGGAACTGACCAGAATGATTCCTCCCCAAGGAGTAGATTTCATGGTACCAAAAGGTATCATGCAAGTTTCCAAAGGGGGGAAGCAACCAATAGTCCTACACAGCTAAGACATGTATAAACCACATCAATGTCCAGCATGTTACATAACCCTATGGGTGCAGTAGTGGCACACATACCTTGACAGTAATCAACAGTTCTCAAATTGGACTTAAGATCTGCTCAAGGGAAACCATGCCTGTTACTGGAGAACTAGCTAAGTACTCAGTGCTAGTAAAATCGTAGAACCTACAACCACTACTTTATTAAACCAGTAAAATCTCTAGCATCAATCTAAATATTTGTCTTAATACTCAAAGATAAGTTTAGTCTTCACTCCTCATCAAGGAAACTTAGACAAAGCCCACTACAGAAAACTACAGTCAATCAAAATGCAAGAGTTATGGAACCCAGTTCCAGTGGATTCATCTACAAAACATTCCTGCACCCAAGGTTCAGGTAACATGGCAGAAGAATTATAGAATACTGTACAAGAAGAGGGGGTGGTAAGATGTAAGAACTAAAGTATAAAGGAGTGTGCTGTGAGACTGTCTCTTTCCTAGTAATTGTCAGAAGTTACACAATCTCATCAACACGACCATGCAAACATGAGCTAAACAAGGACAAAGCACTAGACATGCCCAAGTGGGAGAAATAGTCTTCCCCATGGAAAAGCAGACCAATTATCCAACACCAAATGGACAGCCCTCAATGATGGGGAATGTTCTTCATTATATATGTTTATCTTATTGGTTTATGAATAAAACACTGATTGGCCAGGCAGGATGATAGGAAGGACTAGGAGACAAGGAGGATTCTGGGAAGTATAGGTAGAGAGGAGTCGTCATGTGATCCCAGGAAGTGATGTAGCTGGGCAGAAACTGCCACTAGCTAACCATAGAGTTCTGGAGGTCTCTACAGAAAGGCAGAAAGTGACAGAGCTGGGCAGAATCAGAAATATAAGCAGGGACAATCAGGAAACCCCACTCTTCTCTTCTCTGTGGAGAAGTAGCAGGCAAAGGAGTTGCAGGTCTGGCATTCCTGGTAAGCCAAGACCACATGGAAATACTTAGATTATTAGACAATGGCTTAATAATTAAGTCAGAGACAGCCAATATGAAACCCAAGCCAATGGCCAACAGCTTTATAACTAATATAATCTGTGTGTTTGTTTGGAGCAGAGAAGGGCAGCAGGACTAGTGGGACCAGAAACATCACATAAAGCCTCAATTCACACATACCAATAATATCGTACCGACTGAGGTTATATTTAAGAATATATACGTATATGCATATAAGGACAATTAATGAGAAAAGAGCCCATGAATTTGAAAGAGATCAAGGAGAGGTATATGGAAGACTTTGGAGGAAGAAGGGAAGGGGAAAATTATGCAATTTTATAATCTCAAAAATGAATTTAAAAATTATGGTATATATTTTTGTAGGCTTCATGAAGGGAAATAATTTTTTTCTTACAGATTTCATTTTCAATGGCATGAGACAAAACAGGTAAATATATAAGCAAACATCATCTCTCTACATACGTGTGTCCTTGTGTGCATATGAATATAAATATGTATGAGGCATGAAGGCAATACTTATTAAGATACCTGGGTCATTCTGCCAGTGAACTCACATCCATAATACCAGTGACATCTATTACCTCCAGCTAACTGGCAGTGGTGGGCTATCCTCTCAGTTCTGCATGGAATGAGTTAGTTTGCTCTAGGGGCCTTTCAGCCTAGGAAAGGAGACAGATCCTTAAAATGTCCTGGCAACCTGGGAATCCATAATCCACTAGATTAATTTATCAAAGGAAATGAACTTTTATATGTAATTGGAGGTTTTGCTTTTAATTCTAGGAAATGTGTCACCTCATGACTGGAGAGTGGGGGCATAAACATACCAACTAAAATTGCTATATGATAATGTATACAGTGGCGTCTTCTGCAGCATGGCTTTTCTTACCTTGATCTTTTGGTGGTACTAATGAAGAATTCCGCATTATGATGTGTGTGACTTGAACAATAACTTTCCTAAAATATTCAAGAACAAAGAATAATTAGAAACTAGTTGAGATATTATGTTAATATACATTAAAATATGAATTATAAGAGTTTTTGAAAAAATTTTCCCTATTTATAACTGAGTGGTAAGAAATGGGTCTTAAGCTATTAATAATTGATGTTATGTATTTACTGTTCATTTTTCTATGGATAGTATTTTGCTAAATATATTGGACTGGATTTGGGCAAGGAACTCTGATGTTGTATGAGGGCCTACCTGTACCTCTGCTCTCACAGTTATAAAGACCTAAGCAAAGTGAAGAGTCTCTGAAAATGTCCTGCCTGATAAATACATTTCATATATATTTTTAAACAATAATTACTGAGATAAATTATAAATATTGACAATTAAAACACTAAAATATAAATCATAAGCTGCAAGAATAATGTAAGTCTAATACAGTCACTTGATAGAATATAGGCTCACCAATGTAAAAGGAGTATGAATCCTATGTAGGAGCATAAGAAATGCTGATATAATCATACTAAAAGATAGAGGCCAGTATTATAGTATATAGGATAGTGCATGGTGGAAAATTCACGAATATGTTTGCAATGCACTTGGTTATGGAATTATAAGTTTTCCTTTTCAAGTAAGCAGTTTCCAAGCTGTTTATACATTGACCAGTAACTCAGTATTCATGGGGATTGGTGCTGGGAACCCCTCAGAGATAAGAAGTCAGTAGTTCTGGTGTGCTATTTGCACATAATCCATACACATCCTCCTACATACTTTAAACAATTTCTTAATTACTCTAATCTTTGGGTACAATGTAAATGCTATATAAATAGACACCTGTATATGGGTATATCCAACCTGAGGCCTAGCTATGAATGTGGTCAAACACATTTGCAGATGAAAGAGTCAAGTCACAATATCAAAAGATTATAGTCACTTTGCTTATCTAGGGAATAATGAAAATAAACAAGTCACTACATGTTCTGTATAGATGCAGCTTTAATCAGTTACAGTCAGTTAATGTATTTGTTTGAGACAGGTTTTACTTTGTAGCCCAGTCTGTCCTGGAACTCACAGTAATGTACTTGCCTCACTCTGCCAAGTATGAGCAAAATTCTCAGCTATAGATGCAGCTTAAAAAATATTTTTGAAGCAAGGCATGGTAACACAAGCCTGTAAATCCTAGCACTTGGGCCTGGAAGCAGGGGAATGAGGAATTCAAAGCCAGTCTTGGCTATATGACAGCTGTCTATGTAAAATGTATTGTTGTTGTTATTTTGAGCTAGAGTTTCACTATGTAGCCATTGCTGGTCCAGAACTTATGTATACCAGGCCAGCCTTGAACTCACAGAGATATGCGTGCCTCTGCCTTGCAAGTGTTGGAATTAAAGGCATGTACCACCACATGAGCTACAATTCTTATTTTGAGGATATAAAATGCAGATATAGAATGGTGACTGTTTTGAATAAAAAAATTAAGATCTTTGGAAAAATATTGACCATTATGTATATAAGCTTTTAAGTACAGATGTTTTTCCAAGTAATATCATTGAGTTCAATACTGACAAACTTTCCACTTTAAAAAAAAAGGAAATTGGGTAAAATTAAAAGGCACAATTTTCACTTTTTATCAGGACAGAGTAGCAGAGACCAAAATTATCCTTCTATATAAAACAATAAGAAACAAGGATGAAACAGATAATCAGATCTTTCAAAGACACCAGAAATTAGTTCCTAAAAATAGATCTCAATGAGGATGGAGGGATGGCTCAGAGGTTTAGTGCACTGGTTGGTCTTCCAGAGGGTTTGGGTGGGATTCCCAGCATGGGTGTGGAAGCTTACAACTGTCTGTAATTCCAGTTCCACAGGAGAGGATGCCCCTTTCTGGCCTATATAGGCACCAGACATGTGAGTGGTATGCAGACATACCACAGGCAAAAAAACCCACACACATAAAATAAAAACAAATGAATCTTTAAACAAACAAACAAATGACAACAACAACAACAACAACAACAACAAGATTCAAAAAAACAAGAAACCACAGTAGTGAGCTAGATAACTACAATGCAGGAGGCAGGGCCCTGACGGTACAATGGAGAAAAGAGAATCTCTATTGCGTTCTCCTTAATTACAATTATTGAGCATGCAAAAAAAGCTATAAAATATGATCCACAATGAAGAAAATAAGGAAAAGTGACCTAGGTATTAGAAATATGGGGTACTTACTCATGTTAATTAATTGCTTACTAGGCATATTGGAAGAATATATTAGCAATTCTTAAGGCATAGATACTACCCAAAATGAAACTGAGAAGTGGAGTTAAATAAAAATAAAACACAGAAAATACAAAGCATCATGAGCTGAGATATAGGAAAAAATCAGAAGCTCATTCCAATATCTGAAGAGGAGAGATGGAAAGACAGGAATGCTTAAGAAATAATAGCTCAACAGGGGTCTAGACGAGGCTGGTGAAACCCACAGAAACAGCTGACCTGAACATCAGGGAATTCTTGCTCCCCAGACTGATAGCTGGAATACCAGCATGGGACTGAACTAGACCCCAGGAACATGGGTTTCTGGGAGGAAACCTCGGAAATCTATGGGACCTCCTGTAGAAGCCCAGTATTTATCCTTAGGGTAGGTGTGGACTTTGGGAGCCCATTCCATATAGAGGAATACTCCCTGAGCCAACACACATGGGGGTGGGCCTAGGCCCCATCCCAAAGGATACAATAGACTTTGATGATCCCCTATGGAAGGCCTCACCATCCAGGGGGAGCAGAAAGGATATGTGATAGGTAGGGTTTTAGTTGGGGGTGGTGGTAGGGGAGGACGGGTGGGAGAAGGGAACTGGGATTGTCATGTAAATCAATCCTGTTTCTAATTCAAATAAAAAAAAGTTGAAAAAAAAAAGAAATAATAGCTCAAACACTATCACAAAACTGTAAATACACAGATCCAAACATGTAAAAATATACAATACACAAAAAGATAAAGATCACAGGAAGGACTACCATTGACCAACCTGCCCAAAACGAGTGAAAAGAAGAAAAACTAGAGATAATGTATTACATAGAGAGGAACCAATGTATTAAGGATGACAGGAGACACCTTATTACAAACAATACAAGTGAAAAAACAACAAGTATGAAGAAGGGAGGGAGAAACAACCTTGTGATCTAAAATCAAAGAAACACTAAGCCTAGACAGCTTCCTAAAGGCTTTGAGTTCTTAAGGAAGAAATGACTCTAAACATACACAAATTTTTTTCTGGAAAATTGAAAAGGTGGGTTTGGGCAATCATTCAGTCAGTAGAGTGCCTGCTTTTCGAGCATGAAGATCCAAGATTGGATCCCCAGCACCCATGTAAAAACTTGGCACCATGGTGCATGCCTGTGATCTTAGCACTTAACAGAGACTGGAGCTTGCCAGCCAGCTAGTATAGCAGAATCCTATTCTAGGTCAAGTGTATCTGCACACACAAACAAAACACACACACACACACACACACACACACACACACAGAGGAAACTGAAAGGAAGGATTTTCTCACTATTTAAGAAGTGAACACTATCTAGGCACCAAAGCTAGACACAGCCTTTATGAGAAAAGAAGCTAAAAGACCAATATCCTGGCATGAGCACACATGTAAAACTTACAAGCAAGATTTTAGCTAATTAAATCCAACAATTTGATACCACTTTGTGATCAGGCAGGGTAGTCTCACCAATACACTCGGTTTAACATTCAAAATGAATGCCATTCAAATACTAATCATCTAAAAAAGAAAACAATGTCATCATCTCAATATGTACAGAAAATACATTTGATATGATCTAAATCCATGCCTTGTAAGAGCTTTAAGAAAATGAAGAACAGAAGGGACAGTCACCTTGGTAAAGAGATAAACCATGAAAAGCTGACTGTTTTCATTCCAAGCTCACAGCTAAGAAAAGGGTATCCATCCTTATCACTACTACCCAGAGCTGCTGCAGACAGCCACTTCAGCAATGATGGACCAGTGGACACCCAGGTGCAAAAAAAAAAAAAAAAAAAAAAAAAAAAAAAAAAATTTCTATCTCACAAAATTTAGTATGTACCACATACTTAAAAACCATAAAATTCCTAAATGAGATACTATGATCTTAATTATCTATTTACAAATTCATTTATTATTTTCCCAACCCTAACCATAAAGCCCTAACCTTAGGAAACAAGTTATCTTTGGTCAGGCAAATTTAAAAGAGTAAGTATGTCAATTGAGGCATATTCCAGAGAATATCAAACTAAAAGGATAGAATCCCCTCAAATTAAAAAGACGTAGAGTATGAAAATATAAGCCACAGAACAGAGGAAATATTTTTTAAATAATACATATAATAAATAGCATTCAAAACTAAAATCTCTCTTAGAAATGAGCAAACAACCCAATTCACAAAATCTGAATGTATATGTCACTAGAAAGGATACACGGCTTATAAACAAGGACAGGAAAGATGTTGGACATCCTTAGTTACAAACCAAAACCATAATGCAAGGACACCATGCATCTATCACAAGGGATACAGTAAATATGGACAAGGATGTGGGAGAAAGGGAGAGAAAAAGAGCATGGGTATACAAACAGAAACAGAACACACACCACATCAAGTGTGTGCAAGATTTTAGAAAATGCAAACTGGAGGGACAGGAAACTGATGGCTGCCTGAGACAGGGAAGGCAAGGATGTTGGAAAGAAAGGCTAAGTGTGCATGAGGAAAATCCATCCATCCGAGGGGACAAAAGAAGTGTTCACCATCTTAACTTTAGTTAAGGCTTCAGGGATATGCACACTTCAAAACTGATCATACTTCACTCTACATATGTTCACCTTTCTGTGAATCAATTGTAGCTTCTAGTATTTTTAAAGACTTTACAACAGACACAGACACCACCTACTTACACTCACATCTTTGCATAAAGCAAGCTGATGAGAAGACATTCAGCCATAAAAATCATTAATACTTA